CTCTCTCTCTCTCTCTCTCTCTCTCTCTCTCTCTCTCTCTCTCTCTTTGTTACTCTTATGATTTATTATTAGCCGTCCATCACGAAATATCAAGCTCTCACTTAAATTTTCGCATTCCTGTGCTTCCGTCCATTATTATATACACATGGTTATGCAGTTTCCTTCTCTCTCTCTCTCTCTCTCTCTCTCTCTCTCTCTTTCTTTCTCTTTCTCTCTCTGAATTTAATTCTCTTTCTCTCTCCCCTTTTTCTTATTTATTGGGCGAACACTCTCACCATCATAATTTGATCAGCTCGCATTTGCTTTAACTTATAAGTAACGGGATCTTCAATTATTTTGTACACACTGATCGCATTGTAAGACAAATTTTCCTGATGTTCAATTGCAAATAAATGCCAATAAAAGAAACAAAAAAATATTGCCACAATTTTAAAATAACTTGAATGCAATATGTTAGCCTATGTGTGTTGTGTTGTTACTTTAATGCACACGGGAGAATAAATACGGCGGAGAGGGGAATAACAGACCGAGTGGCTAAACTGAGATTGTGTGGCATACATTTGTGTTTCAATATTTTCATTAATTTGTCGTTCATTGCACTTCTACGAAAATTTTGAAACTACAAATTTTTACATTATTACATTTATTTATTTAGAAATGCATACACACGCATACATACAAACACACGCATACATACAAACACACGCGGCATATATTAATGATTTACATATTGATTGTATTCTTATACGCACCACAGCCGAATAAGAGAATATTCATTTTGTCAAGAAGTTTGTAACGCTTACAACAAGGCAACATAACAGATCCTACATAAGAAACCATTGATCAGTATTCAATTCTAAATCGCTCTAGGTCTGTTAGTCCGTCCGTCCTTATTTTCTATCGTCAAAAATTAATCTATCAGATGCAAATTTAACAAAAGCATCTGAAATTCGTGCAATCAGTTTGATATTGAATATGAGCCAAAATAGCCCACAGTACAATTTCAATTGAGAACACTTCCGGTTTTAACTGAAGAGCAAGTATTTGTCTTTTGCACATATAGTTAACGGGTGATCGCATCTGCACCTGTTCGGCAACTGGAAAAGATCAATATTATAGAGTGTAAAACTTTTGTTCTTTTTCTTTATTTTTTTTTATTTTTTTATTTTTTTTAAATAATGGTAGTGGGCATAAGAGATTCGGCAATAATCGAATACAATTGTCTTACTTGTTAAATATCATACACACGTTTTTATAATACCTATTACCCGAATTAAGAGAATGCAAAAAGAAAAAAAAGAATTTGTTAATTTATCTGCAACGTATTTACTCCGCAGGCTTTGCATGAGCATAGTTATTTACATATATGCCTGCATAAATATAAGAACATATGCACATAAGTGTAACGTGATGATGCCATAAAATGTTTTTAATTGTTATTCATTCTTTTGTTTGTACTGTAATGATGTCGATTTTGAATTTTTTTTCACATTTTCCTAAACACCCAGAGAAAATTCTTGCACCCTATTCACCTATAGAATATTAGTTTGCCGATTTCGCTTACAACAACTGTTTGTCATCGATTTCGCGCCATCTTAAGCCCCACAGTACATCATTAATCCGTTGTTCGCGTTGTACTCACTGTAGCGAACGGAATTCGCTCACTAATACCAGATGATATCATTTGATTACAAAAGTATTCAATATTCGATTCAATTGGAACGCCCCTTATTAATGTATAATAGATAAAATAATTCTTTAAAAAATTATTTTAATTGTCTAGAATTTATTAGAATTTTAAGTAAGGAAAAGTCGGATTTTGTAGCTCAAACGATCACAACGGCCGTTCGCACGTAGACCTTAAGCATTTTATTAAATTCTTTATTGTTAACATTTTTCACGCGGGTTTTTTCTACATTCGCGTGTACATTTACTTGTAAAATAACTAAGCGCTACATGATGGGCATTCAATATTCGTCCATTCTAGCGAATGTAGTTGCCTTCATATGATTTGCATAATATGATCTTGCTCATGTGTCTGGGTAATCAAAATGTTACTTAATCTAATTATATATATATATATATATATATATATATAAATATATATACGTATTTAGATATATATGTATGTATGTAGATTTGTGTTTGCATATGTATGTGTGTGTGTATTATATTTAGAACCACTAAAAACCGGCGAAAATGTTTTTTTATTTATTTCTTTTTCTTCTTTTTATAATTTGTGTTAAAGAAAAATTCATTTTCTTACAAATTATTTGCATTGCGATCGTTTCTCAGCGTTTTTTTTCGTTTATTTTTTTTATTTTTTTTATTTTTTTTTTTTTTGTTATTTCTCTTCATATCCAGCACAGCATGTATACACTTTTTATCATTTATTCTGTAACAATAGCATATTAAAATTTATCGTCGCGATGTATTCATTTTAATCATTTTAGATAAGTCCGTTCGTCTATCTCGTTATTAAAGCTATATCTAACAAGGTGAACATTATAAATCTGATGCAAATAAATGTTTGACCCATGGGTTAAGTTAAATTGTCAGACTAGAGGCCCACACTCCACAAGCACTCTTAAAATAGAAGGTAACCTGAAACAATCTCAAAAAAAAAAAAAAAAGATAGAAATACTCTGATATTTTCATAGCCAAGCCATGACATCTTAATGCAAAGATCATATTTAAATTTAGCACGTATATGTTTATCAGAATAATGCGAATATTTTATGCACAAATAGTTATCCATCCGCTGTTTTCTGATGGGACCACAATTCATTAAGAAGGAAAAAAAAAAACACCAAATTTTGTTATATATTTGCCTTAGATGATGGGCATCCAAGATTCGTTTCACGACAATTATAGCTCTCTGAATTGTTTTTCATTAATTTATAAACAATTTTCAAAAAACAAAAAAAAAATTTTTTTTTTTTGTTCTTCACCGTTATTTTTAAAAACTTATTCCCGTTCACTATTTACACGATGCTAATGATGACATTGTTGTTGACGATCTCACCATTACGTTTCGAGTACGTTGCACACTGTTGCGTTGCCAAAAGAAAACTGCGGGATTTTAGTTTTTAGTTATATTTATCTCGCTCTTTACATTTTTTCGGTAGACTTCTGAACAACTTCTGGCTGAAAATTTTCCTCTTTGCCTTATTTTCTCATATTTTTAAATCGATTTTTCTAAAATTCTGTAGACTCTACTCTGTCGGAAAATGTGTGTAATTTTTTTTTATTTGTTTTTTTTTTTTTCTTCTGTTTTCATTCCTTTCTATACACATCGCCGGGGAAAAATATTGATTGTGTCGTTGCGTTCGAAACTCCCTGAAACACGCATCATAGAGCCAATGATGTACAAACGGTTTCGACCTATTTATTGCTACGTCCGCTTATTCATATTCAATGACTTGGGCTAAGTTTGAAAATAGTCTGTTTTCAAAGACTAATATTTTAAAAAGCGCAGCAGCCAAAAATCTCCAAATTCCAAAACATTCACTTCGCAAATTCGGAAACCTGAAGTTTACATTATTTACATGCACGTGAACACGTCCACAATTAGTTCACCGACACGTCTACTTGAGTTACAAATTCCAAATATGTTTCCATGGTTTAGATAAATAAAAGCACGTAACGCCTATAAGAGTAGGAAGACATAAGTAATAAGGGAAAATCTTAATAAATTTTAAAATATTTTCATCGACAATTTAAATAACTAATACCAGTGCATACTTATAAGATTTATAGGAAAAAAAGGACATCTTGCATAATTAAAAGAAACCTAAGCAATTTTCATATTCTCTGCTTAAAGACTGGAAATCTATATTCAATTCACGCGCAATCTTCCACAGTAGGTTTTGTACCTCTTTTCGTTTTCTTTCTTTTTTTACTTACGTAATACCCAAAAGGACGTAAGGTAGATGGAGCCACCATTTATTATACCGATCGACTCAGAATTATTTTCTGAAGCTTATCTGTCTAACCTTGTCTGTCGGTCGTCTGTGACATGGTAAAAAATTGTAATCTTCAAAAATTTTCAACATAACTCGCTGACAGATCGTATGTCGACATCTTAAATTGGTATGGAAAATTTGGTGCAACCCCTCTCATACAATCGTTCCTGCGAACACTCAGTCTTTATATGGTAAGAAAGTATAATTTCCAATATTTCATGGTGAAAATTGATTCGTAACCGTACGGAGGTCTAATTTTTGGATATAACTGCGTATAAGGATTCTCCGGAAATGTATATCCTTAAATATGTATATCCTTATGTATGCCAAAAAGTCCTAATTGTTTATGATAGTAATTTGACATAAAGCTTAAATCGATCAAATTTGAACGATATGGGTCTATTTCTTCAACACCAGCCTATAAAAGATTTCTCATAAATAGTAGTTTTAAGTGAAGTTTTTCAAAAACTCTTTTTTGCTTATCGCACTGGCCGTCATAAAGCATATATAATATTTAAGTATGAAAAAGAAAGTACTATTGGAAAATATAAACAAAATGGCAGCACTGAAGCTATTCCGACGAGGCTTGGTTAATTTGAAGGACTTTGCGGAACGCAGTAGATGCAAATTTTGGCCGTATCGATTAACTTACACTAGTAACGTCATTTCTGGAGAATACCTTTAAGTGAGCATAAACACTTTCTGAAGATATCTACAACTACTACTGGTGTATTAAAGAAGTTAATAATCACATGGTAGGACATCAAGCAGTAGCTTCCCAAGAAGGAACTATTTAAAGTATGTAGACTTTTCGAAATGCTTGGAAGGAAATTTCAAAGCAATTCCTTGCAGGCAATAAACTTTCTCCCCAGTCTAGAGAGTTCAAAGAATCTACGGACCAAAGAAACATTAATTTCACTATATGATATTGATATATGAAGTGGTGTACCAATTTAATTTCTCTTAAATTTTATAAAATTACCTGCGAGGTATATACTGGGGCCAGATTTTAACAGTAGATTAGTGATAATACTCGCCTACGTTCGAGAGCAAATAGACAGAAAGTTTCATTCGTGAACGATTTAGTAATAATAATGCAAACTGGAGGAAAAATTTTTCACATTCTTCAATAGACCTTCAAACTTACATAATACCGAAAATATCTTTAACGGCGACCCCACTGATGATACTCTTACATAGTTTTGGAAACCATTTGATTGATTCTGCCGTCCTCAACGTGCCTAAAAGATATCTCCAAATGGTAGGTAATTCTCTGCCCTACGTAAATTGAAATTATTAAACCTGCGAATACGTGATTTACAAACAATTGATAGGACAATTTATTATCGCCCCTAGATAAAAGCTCATCCGCCTTCTGGAATTTAATAAAAATTCTTGAAAAGATATCTAACAATATTTCAATTCTAAAGCAAAAGCGATTTTGTTATACCATCAACCAAGATGAATGTGAAATTTCAGCAAATATTTTTGCTTCTTACCGCCCCATCAGTTGACTGTCAAACCTCAGTAACTTTCTGGCAAAGTTAATTGAAAGTTGATTGAAAGATTTCATAACAACCAATCATATTATTCCAGTTCCCTCGAGAACAAAATTCGATGCAATCCTTTAAAGAAACCTAGTTAGTTAGCACAAACTTTAACCTCCAAAAATCAACTGACATATTGCTATTGAATATCAAAGTGACTTTCGATACAATCTGCCATGAAGACCTAGTCTAGTCTTTAAAATGATAGATACAAATTTCCCTATACAACTTACAAAGCTAATGGAAAGTTTTCTAATTTCCTAGACTTTTAAAGCTTCCGTTGTTTCACGCTGTCCAAAACTTAGCCCTATAACGACCGGATGTTCCCAAGAGTTGCGTTTACTTGTTCTCTATAACTTATATAAATCTGATTATTCTCAATTTAATTATGGTATCCTGCCCATTTTTGTTGATGACGCAGCAAATTCTCAATCCTGAAATTAACGACAAGTCATACTAGCCAGAGAGCCCTATTTTAGTGAATGGAAATTATTGGTAAACTATCAAAAAAATAAGACGATAGACCTTATCAGGAAACGTGAAGACTATTATATAGTATAGTATAGTACTAGCACAGTATAGTATATATAGGACTGGTATAGTATTAGTATATATATATATATAGTATAGTATTTATAGTATATATAACATAGTATAGTATAGAGTAACTCTCATATTCTACGCAGGTACTATCCGGTCTGTTAAGGCAAAATAAATTACAGACACGCCCTAATAAAGTATTACGGCTAATATATAACCTTCCTCGGAATTTTTTTTTTTACATCATGTCTTTATGATGTTGCGGATACGAGACTGGAGCTTCTGACAAGATTAATAAACTCACTCATAATTTCCATATCCGATGCCTTTACTCCGGTTCCGATCATATTAATGAGTTGACCTAAACTTGGGCATACATCCGGCCAATAGTTAAGTAGTGTAGAAGTAAGTAGCAATTAAAATCAAATATATATATATATATATATATATATGTATAAGCTAAAGAATAAAAATTTTGAGCTCTTAAATATGTAATTATAAGTTGCACGGAAATGTAAATAATCTAAATAATGTAAATAAATGAATGAATTTATGATGCAATATTTTTATAAGAATTTTCATCCGGTTATAATACCATAAACAAAACGCAAATTATTCGATTGTACGGAACGTAGTATGCATAAGTTCGCTGCTCCGTCACAAAATCTTCTGATATCTAACAGTTTTAGACTCGAATTAATAATCGCAATTGTTCGCCTCGTGGGTGTTCACCACTGAAACGTGAATGACTTGCAATAGTTAAATAGGATTGTCACAATTTCTTACATATGTGTATGTGACATCGGCCTTGATGATTGCCATCGGATAATCCGCATTACCTAAGCGATATGCCGCCAACTATTAGTCATAATTTAAAGGACAATAAATGAAAAGAAGCCAATCATTGTTTAAATAATTCGGACTGGATGGTAGGCGGTCCAGCGTAATATAATGATATCTTTATTGTTCATCTCTAGAGTCTTTTCTTTCCTCTTTTGAAGTCGCATTAACCTAAAGTATTCTTTTACTTCGCGCTGAGAGTGAGAACAGTTCCTTAATGTGTTACCGATTAGAAAGAAAAAATTATTTATAAAGTTTCTCGCTAATAGAAAGATTCATAGCAAAAAAGAAATTTCGGTACCTTATCAAAAGCTTGGATTTGAAGCAACCCTTAAAAAATAAAGAAAACAAATAAGAAAATTATATTCGATCGTAACCGAATCCTTAATGCCGCTAAAATCTTTAGCACCGCATGCTACTATTTGTGGTTAAAAGAAAGTGAAAGGGATAAAATGTATCTTCTACCACTAAAAATCACTAAAAGGTATTGTTAAGGAAAACTTAATCTACCATGTCGTTGTGTCCACCACCTTTTTATTTTTTAAATGACTCAATTTTTAGCAAAGTGATTTGAAACATTCCGTCTTGTTTGTCTTATGTTTAATAAGCATAAGGTGTTGAAAAAAAGAAATTTTAATTAAGTTGTATGGGCGTGGTCAAGTTCTGCGTAAAGTAAATGTAGAAAATTTCAGCCTTTTATGTCTCACAATATATAAGTAATGGGCAAAAACCCACAAACTTTTGCTTAGCGAAACGGAGTTGCGTTCAGCTTACGCTTTACTGCTGACCAGTTTGTTCCGTTTGCAATATTAACGTGCGTGTACGGAAATTTTCAATATTCCTACCAAGTATGAAATCGATAGCTTCATTTTTGCGACCAAGAGATTTTCAAAAACACACCCCACACATACACCCCGACGGACAGACATGGCTTAATCAATTCAGAATTTTACTCTAAACGAGTCTAAACCTACACTTTATAGAGTCACTGAAGCGTCATTTTGGGTGTTGCGAGCGTTACAGCAAAATGAATAAGCATCCGTTATCCTTTTAGATGGCCATAGAAGATATATTTGCATTTAATTGGAAATTTCGTACTCTTTTGAAATTTGATCTATAGCCACTAGCTGAGGAAATGTATGCTAAGTTCCACGTTTCTATCCCAACAATTTGCAATTCAACACTTTCCAGCAACAAATGGCCAACGAACATTTGACTGCATCGATTTAAAATCTCACGTTAATCAAGAACAATTTCACTAAAGCGCATTTATTTTCATTACAAACACACACTCACAAATCTACTGCAAACTTATTCATCGATAAGCATAATAATAAAATACACACAGCCATTGGCATATAAAGAGCTCCTCACTTTATTATGTGTGTGCGTGTGCGTGTGCGTGTGCGTGTGTGAGAATGAACACAAAGGTGTAGTTTACTTATTGGTGTAGCTATTTTTTTTTTAAATAGAGTTTTATGTCATTTTTGTTTCCAAGGGACTTTTCGATTTTCTTCTTTTATAAAACTCTTAATCAGTCCTTTCGTCTATGCCCAATGGTGACGTGTATGCGTGTATTTACGTAGCCATAGTTGTACATTAATCTTATATAATCATATTCATAAAAAGAAAAAAATTCATTAATTGTTAATCCCTTCTTAGTGGATGTCTTATAAGAAGAGCTTTGCAAAGTTACCTTTGAGTTTCAGTTTAAAGAAATCTTTCTTACATAAATCATTATATAAATATCTTATATAAATCATTTCATATAATTATATGAATCATTTCATTTATTTTAAAATATTTCTATGTTTTTTTTCAGCAATTTTTTTGCAGAAAACCAAAATACACACAAGAAACATAAGAAACATCTTCCAAGCAAAAAAAAAGCCATAAATCTTGTATCAACATTTAAATATTTTTCATTTATTTTCACAAGTTATTAAATTAAGTTTTATAGAAATACAAATAAATGTAATAAAATGACAGGGGTAGGGGATTTGCTCAAGTAATAAAAAATTCCAGCATATTTGTGAAACGCCGCATATTAACATAATTCACGAGTACAACATAAGCGTATATTGTATATATGTATGCCCACCATTGGAAGTGTAAATGTTTTGCCCACAGCAACGGTTTACCGCCATTTATTTGCAGTAGATAGACGTGACGTGAATCGGTTAACAATTTCCTGATGAAAGCGCCACTCAAGTACACAATACTCATAAGTAAAATTATGCGACGCAGGTGGACTAAAATTATTGCCATTTTCTTCGTCCCTCTCTCGCTCTCTCTCTCTCTCTCTCTCTCTCGTGTTCTCTTTTCTTTTTTTTTTTTTTTGTTTTCTCCTTCCTTCGCTTTATATTTATTTATATACTTCCAAGTCTATCTTCTTCTTTCCGTTTTTTAATTCAACATTTTTTTTAGAGAATTAGAGAAGCCTTGTTCGAAAAGAATTTCACGGCATTTCCTTTTTGCTGCCAAGTGCAGAAGATCCCAATATTGTAATACGTGATGACGTGTTTTTCATAAATTTCACAACAACTTTTCCTTTCACATATATATGTATGTATGTTTTTCACACCTTTAATTATCTTATGATTGTTGTTATGTTTGCAGTTTCTTTCATTCAAATCTTTAAGCAGCAAAAGGAAAAAAAAAATAATAATAATAATAATAATAATAATAATTAATGAGTAGAGCAATAAGTTATACGGTTGTTGCTTTGCCGGTTTTTCAAAAATAACTAAAACCCATTAAATTAAAAATTCGGCAAAATGTTCCCATTCATTTAAACATTTTGAACAATTTGAAAATTTACAAACGGTAAAGGTCGGTAAATTAATTTCATTATTGCATTCGTAACCAATAATATTTTATAATTACCCTCTGTACACATTTGCCCTTTCCTTTATTATTCATTATAGACGAATTTCCGGGAGCACAATTCCCATTCACTTGTACTCCTATCTTCTCACCTATCAAACCACGAAAAGCGATATAAATTAGTTATATGAACACGATCCATTCGAGCGACAATTTGAAAATGCATTCATCGATAATTTGTAGCTTTTCCAATTACGACAAAGAAATTTAGTAGCAATTTTTGTCGGCTACCCATCCATGACTTCGATGGCAATCTCATGCCAGGCCAGATTAATCCTGACTGGCAAAACTGTGAACTGACAACTCCTTTCCCGCACCACTTCGTAACGATTGCGACTGCTGCAAGACAATTTTCTTTTGAAAATTTTTTTTTTTTTTTTTTTTTTTTATTGTTTTCTTACAGGTATATGAGCAATTGTTTATAATTATTAGTACGCAATCATATGGAAGCCGATAAATTTAAAAGTGAATAAAACATATTCATATGCATTTCTACCGAACATAGGCATACATGCGGGACAGGCGAGTAAATTTTTGCGATAAAAAAAAAAAAGGAAAAAACAAAATCCCATGTAATTATAGATGAAAATAAAGTATGCAAACAGAAGAGCTTTTAAAGGAAAAATCAAACAATGAATCAAAGTACATCCATTAGAAATTCTAAGACAATATATTATACAAACGTGTATGCATGCACTTACATATCCAAAAGAGACAAAAGGCGAACAAAAAAATTATGCTCAAGAAATGTCAAAAAACTAAAGATGCAAAAACGACGATACAACGGCACCGAGTGCAATACAATGCAATTCGCTGATAAAGGACAACATTTAATAAAGCGCTACAAACCATTTCTTACATACTTTCTGCAAAATAAACCTTTTCATCGTTAATAACTGATTATCTTAAGGTTCACTGCTCAGCATAGGTATCTTTTTCTTCAACGTTTCCGTATCCAGCCTCATTAGTTCGTTTCACTTTATTTTCATATTTCACTTGCCGGTGTCCTCGGTTTTTAATTCAGGGTTGTATAAAATGTACTATTACTACGGTGTTCTATTTAGCGTAAAAACTTAAATCAACAACAATTTCAAGCAAATAAGTATTTATTAATCAGATAGAAGACATCTAAAAATGTACATGAGATTGAAAAATTAAAACACACGTATTAGGGAAAGCTCTACGCCTAATTCTCTTTTTGCACGAATAATTTTTTTAACACGATTTTCACTACTCTATAAATTTATTTTATACATTTTTTTAATGCATCTGTCCGATGAATTTTTTATTTGTTTTTTTTTTTTTGTTTTTTTGTGTGTTTTTGTGAACATTTTCATTTTCACTCCTCACCGATGTGCATTGTAACTTCGCGCAGATTCAGTTAGATTATGCAGATTACATGCGTATATGAGTGAGATTCTGCGCATTATGCATAGAGTAAGGACGTAATGTATTTTTTACGCAATTTAATTTGGATTTTCAAGGTATAATTAATTTTTTCTAATATATTTAATGATTTAATATGTGTAAGCACGAAAGCCTTGTTTTTTTTTTTTTGGGGGGGGGGGGGTAGGTACAGTTGATTGCCGTCACGAGGCTTATCATATAGCATTGTCGTTAACTTTCCATTACTTACCGTCATATTTTCCGTTGCTTATAATGCATTAATAACTGAGAGAAGTGTCAAATATGACACGCAATTGACGTATGATAAACAATAAGAAGCATGCCAAATTAAATGAAAAGAGAATTATGTAAAATTTATGCTAAGCCATAAAATGATAAATTAATTTCAAAGTTTTTGGGAGAAACCAAATAGAAAACGGCTAGTGAAGAAAAAATATTATTTTCCTTTTACTAATTGGCCGCATTATAAGTAGCTTTTCTTGTTTCTTTGCGTGAATCCATTCAAATGAGGTTCGTCCACACAAATATTAATATCATCATCTTCATAGATCGCTAGTGGTGCGGTATTAAAATCATTTCCATGCTTTCCACGAGAACCGGCATATTGAAGGATGCCCACAACATCATAGGGCGTGACCCTTTTACTTCCCAAAAATTGTATTGTTCATCAATTTCTGTGACTAGACAAAACTAGAAATTAGCCCTAGTCTCCATATATAGGGCTTGCTTTTCATGATAACCCTTAAATATGTTAGGATTTAAAGAATAGACCTACGTGATACAAATTACCCTCCCCTTGATTCTTTGAGGAATCGCTACTGTGAACCAATTTTCATGACGAAATATTAAAAATTAAACCCCTTTTCCGAAGGTCTTGTTATTCAAGACAAATGTTATATGGAGTGAGGCCCAAGAAATAGACCCATGCGTTTTAAATTTGGCTCACTTAGTTTTTATGCCAAATTAATATTGTAAAGAAATTTTTATCATAAAAAATTAACAATTAAGCCCTTTTGTGGTATTCAAGAAATAGTCGTGCACGGCCCAAATTCAATAAGGTTGATTGATGTCTATGTTAATTTATTATTATAAACGTATTTATTATTATAAAAGTATTCACCATGAAATATTAAAAATTATGCCTTTATATGGTAATGTTCAGGAAGATTCAGTTTTCGTAGGAACATACAGGTCATATGAGAGGGGAGTCAAAAAATTGCCCCAGTCGTATCAAATTTTTCATACGAATTCAGAAGATGGAAACAGTATTAATCAGTGACCTTTGCAGTAAAATTTTCAAATTTGCAATGTTTTTCTATATAATGGTTTTAGAAAATAAGGCGTTGTATGGGGGGTAGTTGAAAAAGCGGGCCGTTCCCAATTATTTTGAATAGAGTTCATCCTTGTGTCAAAAAATAGGCGACCTGTAGACTGAACACAAAAATACTATGGACAGACATCAAACACATAGAGGGAACACATATAAAAGGCGAGTCTATCCTAAGCCATTCTAGATGTTAAATATTAATGTACGCTGCACCGCAAGCGGTGTTGGTATGGTATGAAAAGCTTATAAAGGATCCGACCAGAGTCACGTATAATTTTCTTACTTGTTTCTCTTATTGAGTTTTTATAGATAAAAGAAGAAAATGCATGATAAATATGATTAATGTAAGTAATTTATTTTCTTTTTATTCTTATTTTAATTAACATAATTATTCTGTTACTAAAATTTTCAGATTTTCTAACGCACTCTGTTTTTATAATAATTTGATTATATTTTTAATCAATTTTTATTTATTTATTTATTTATTTTTTATAGAAATATATTAAGTATGTATAAATTGTTCACACATGATTTATCACAGAGAACATAAATGACTGATTGTGAGAACTTAACAGAGGATGTGTATGTGTGTTTATGTGTTATGTGTGTTGTGTGTGTTGTTTATGTGGCAAAAACTTCCTGCTATCGGAATTATAAGTTTTCTTCTTCTTTTTTCATTATTATTATTATTTTATTTTAAGAGAAAAATGATTGACAATTAAATTTATTGCTTGAGAGTTAGAAAATACGTTTGATTTGCTATAGAAGAGTATTTTTCAATACAAAGTATAAAAGATTTAAAAGAATTGATTGTTTTAGAAAAATACTGCTTTTTTTTTTTTTATATATATAAGTATATGTAGAGATATGCTTATTAAATACTACAATAATTGTGCGGTTTTCTTAAGACTACACATTCTATTTTCATTTGTATATATACATATATTTATATATATATGCATATATATAAAGAAGTATTATCATTTTTACAATCATTTTATATATTATCTTATATATATATATATATATATATCTATATATATATTGTAATGTATTTGTAACCATTTTTTAATTAGCAAAAAAAAAAAAAAATAAATAAATTAAAAAGAAAAAGAACGGAATCAGTATTATCGGTTCAAGTGTCTTTAGGGTATTAAGAAGACTTTGAATTTAAAATTTATGTTATATTAAATCACAGATTTAATCATAAAAAAATCTCTTGGCTTTCTTGAAAACAAACGGGAAGACTTAAAGTATATAATATATATATATATATAGATGTATATTAAACAGTATAAGCTATTAGGCTAAATAAGGGCAGGAAAAACAACTTAAATTGTATTAGAGTTATTAAGCTTAGTCTATACCAAAATCTTATCATAGGACGGTGGTGGTGATTCTTCTACTGAAGTGATTCCTTTATCATGATTTTTTGTTTCAGGCAGCAATATAGCAATGTGGTAAGGAGGTGGACCAGCCTGGGCTGCCGCATTATTAGCTACTGTCTGTGTTCGTTCTTGTAATTCATGTAAATCACTTACAACGATATCGTCAACCGAGTTAAGCGTTGAGCCTCTGCTACCTAAACCACATGCAGTTCGACGTTGATCAGCCGTTGAACGATGGGGTAATAAGCCTTTGGGCACTCTACATAAAGATACAGTGCAGGCGGCAAGAAAGAATGTAGCAGAAAATGCACAAAATATTAGAACTTCTAAGCCAGTGCCTTGATGATCGAAATAGAATTTGGCTCCTGCCACAAACACAGAAGCCAATACTAACGAAGCACACATTCCGCATTTTAAATGGGTTGGCAGTAATTGGTTATCCACGCTTTCAACAGAATGCATTGTGGTAGCATGCTGATGATGATGATGCGAGGGACCCATGGAGGAAGTTGAATAGCTGGCACCACAATTAGCCGGACGTAAATTGCTTACACTATTCGAGCGTTGATTAGAACCAAAATCACGTTGAGATTGCCTATTAACATCTGTAGCCGGCATTGAAGACGTAGTTTGATGTGGCACCGTTGAAGCTGTAGAAGCATTTTGACTGCAACTGTAAACAAATTTTTTAGTTTTAGCACTTGGTTCACTACCTAATTTCAAGATATGTAGTATATACGTACCCATAATTTTGGACAGCGATCGTTTGTCGACCGCCGTTATGTATACTTGGTTCTATGATGTTGGCGGATGTTTGTTGGATGTCCGTTTGCTGATAATGCCTTACAGACATATTTCCAAACTGGGGATGATGATAACTGCGCATGTCATGGTGATGGGTTGGCTGCTGATGATGCGCCAATGAAATCTGATTGCTATTAATGGTTGAAGATGGTAAGATATAACGAGCGTTACGCCATGAAGAACCAGAAATCACTCCTGATAAAGAAGACGCAATACTATTATTGTTATTAATATTTGCTGTTGCTGGATACGATTGTGACGTTGGATTTGTGTATGCATTGTTTTGCTGCTGGAGAACGACATTATTATTTAACTGCTGACTAGAAGATGAATATTGACCGCCACTGCTGGGAGTATTATTATTATTGTTGGCACTGTAACCATAATTATTGCTTCGGTGATAATCGACGGTAGTTGTTGTTGTTCCAGCAGTACTATATGTCACATGATGTTGCGTATAATGTCCGTACTGCTGTTGCTGCTGTTGCTGTTGCTGTTGCTGTTGTGGTTGCTGTTGCTGCTGCTGTCGATGTATCGGCATTGAGCTATTAGAGCTGGTGGTCGATTTATAGCCACCTGCTCGGCGTGGTGGATGACCAAAACTCAAACCAGATCCGCCAGCTCCCGAGAGAGAGGCAGCAACCCTTGATCTGCCGAAGCCACATTGCTGCGAACGTTTATCGATCCAAAAATGCATAATCCAAGTCAGCTTTACAATAAATCAAATCAAAATAATAAACTGCTATCAGTCTTATACACGTTTACACTTAATTATCTACACCTATATATTCTGCGCATATACACATTTATAGATATGGGAACGCTTAATCGCTAAAAAAGGTCAAAGCACTCAAACAAACAATAAAAATACGCACAATTAGTTTTGCCTATAAGCCGCCCTCACGCCTAACAGGAACCAAGAAAAAGTATTTCTTTGTTATGCCACAAACAAATATTAATATATAATGTTTGTGCCTAAAACACGATTACGTTTATAGTGCATATACGCACACAGTGCACATATACATGTGCGCGATATTTAAAGAAGGCTTGACAGTTCGGCCTCATGAAAAGCAAAACAAAAGTACATTTTTATTAACAAGGTCAGGTGGAAACGAAAAATATGCAGAATTTACGAACTGATGATTTACTAAAATAGCAAGCATGGTTGCCTAACACAAGCGAAACTGAATATTACATTTATGTACATTGTATCTTACATCCGCAACTATCCCTCACAGACGAACAACTGAGCCATATCTACTCATATCTATGTAAAGCTGTATTCATGATGTAGTATGAATAGTTCATTACCCAAGCACGTAGTCAATACCTTATTATATCCTTCATCGAAGAATGAAGTGTATATTCAGTTTGTCAAGACGTTTGCAAAACGTCCAAAAGAAAGCCTCGAAGATCCCATAACGTATGTATATATTCTTGGTTAGCATCAAATTCTGAATCGATCTAAGCATGTCCGTCTACCCATCTGTATAAAGTCTGTTGCAAACATTCTTCAAAATGAAAATACCGTCTTCATATTTGGCAGAAACATTGGAAGTTCTTCCACGCAAATTGTCGTTGAAAATGGGCAAATCCATCGAAGGACACATCTACGGTACTACGTAAAATGAAAACACCTCTGTTTTTCAGAAGGAGTAAAATATTGGACTTTGCAACAACCCCTTTTACTTTGTAAATGGAAAAAACCAGCCACGCCCACTCTATATTATAGAGGAGGGAAATGTAGTTGTTTCGCATTTTATGTTTCTTTTAAGATAACGATGATGGGTATAAAAGATTCCGTCTGGACCGTATATAATTTTGTTACTTCTTTGTTTATATATAACAAATTCTAACAATCAAAAAACGAAGGCCATTATTTTAAATATCGTAGACTGCATAATTTTTGCTATATAGCAATAAGAAAATCCTTAAAAGAATTTCATAGGTTTCTGTAAATTTCTCCAAAGACTTGAATATTTGATGCAGAGATTATCGTCGGTTTCTATAATTGTTGCACTCTGAAATGTCTCCCGATGTAGATTAGTACAACTGTTGACTCGCTTGTCAGTACACAGTGGGCAGTAGACAATCGCAGTGAATGTTATGAAGAAGTTGAGCAGAATAATAAAATTTCGTACCGATCAGATAGTTTTTTAAAGTAGCGCCGCAGAGTTCAACTTAATTAGTAATTAACACACATATATTTAATACAAGCATATGGAAAATCATATTTCATAAAAGCAGCATCGGTGGAAACGAATTCTTCCCAAGCCTTTTTTTGTCATTTTCCATTCTCAGAAATATCTCTATAGTCATTAACAAATAAGAAAATTATATTCGATCATGCCGAGAACCGTGATCCTAGAAAAAACAAAACAAGTAAAAGAACTAAATTTTCGTGCTCTACAGTGTAGAGTGGGCGCAGCTGATTTCTTCTATATTCAAAAGTTATTGCCGCATAGACATGTGGGCGTTGTAGGCGTGTCCTTTAAAAAAGTCTATGTAGATGTCAAATTCTTTTGCAAATTTTGTAAGCGATATCTACATTTTCGCTAATGGAAGAATGTTTACCACATATACTGCAAAGTTACGCAAACAGACAGATGGACATGTTTAGGTGCATTCAAGGATTGTAACTGGCCAAGAACTTGCAAACTTGATGGGGTTTTTGAAGCTTGTATCTGGGTTGTAAAGATATCGAAAAACCCATTAAATTTTGATATACTATAATATTGGGAAGGCGTGGTCATTTTTTTCCATTTTTATGCACAAATGCTAGAGCATCGCCCATAGAATATGCGGTATCTGCTATAGTTATGAGTAATGAGTAATGAAAAGATCAATTTTTCATTCCACTTGAGAACCAGAGGTGTACTCAGTTTACGTGATGATGTGGGCGTGTCCTTCAATGCATTTGGTCCATTTTCAATACCAACCTGAGTGGAAGAACTTCCAACGTTTCTGCCGAACAGACGCACAACTAGACAGAGGGACATGCTTAAATCGAATCAGAATTCGATGCTGATTAAGAATATATAGACATTGTAGGGTCTCTGTTGCTTCCTTCTCGGCATTGCAAGCGTTTTGCCAAAATGCTCTTCTTTCGGTGAAGGGTATAGAAATATTTTTTTCGCTGCAAGAGTAAGCGAGGTTTCCATTCAATTTGTAAAGCGACAGGGGACTAACAGTATATACAGATAGTGTTATTCATTCATTTGTTTTTCCATTTCTGATTGTCTTTGGCTTTTCACATTGACTATAGCGAGAGTGGTATCAATCAATATTGTCTATTGAGAGATCAGCGTCATCTTAAAATCCAAAGGTTTTAAATATCATTTCGTTGAATTTGGATTTTTTTTTTTTTTTGAAACTTTTTGATAGATTAATAGATTTGAAAAAAAGTGGAAACGAAAAGTGAAAAACATGTATTGAAAAAATAGAATTGAAAATTCTTTGCATTCAAAGCCCGCACGCTTTAAAACTGAATACATGCATCCAATGCAAAATGATCAATGGATTTCACAAACAGTTTTTCACGCAACTTAAGACCTGCCAGTTGCATGCAAATATGACTTTTAATTTAGTGTCATTGTGTGAGTAGATATTCGGTTTACCTTACAATTAAAATAATTCACACATATACGTATACATATGCTGATATATATATATATATATATTACTGTACGAAAGTAAATACTTGGCATATACCGATATTTTCAGTGAATGTTCAATATCCACCTAACCCACAACATATCTGAACATTAATTATATTCTGAAAGGGATACCCCATAAGCGTCATTTGTCGCTACCAGCCACAATAGAGATAGTGTATCTAATCTTTACTCGTTATTCACCTATAAATGATATCATTTCTGATCGAAACGAAACGAAATATTTCATAATTTATTGAAGACATATCGGATTTCGGAAAACAAGAATCTAATAATCAATCTTCAAGAGTTCGGATAAAAGATAGAATGCCATTTTTCTCCTGCACGAAATTTCTTCGAAAGTAATGAAAGTTTTACAATGCCATGAGAAAAGCGTAAAAGCATAGACATAACATTAAGACATATGGACACATGGATCGCTACTGTCTTAATTTAATTGAAATACTCTTTAATTATAAGATAATTACTGCTATAATAAGGCTTTTAAAGTTTTTTTTTTTTTTTTTTTTTTTTTTAATAGAATATATTTGCTATGCTCTAGACAGACATGTGTATATGGAAATCTTCATGTATACATATGTATACACTTCGATAAATATGTGTATGTACAAACAAATGCATGTGAAAAGTCAGCAAATTTAATTGAATCAGCAGACAAGTGTGCAGTGCTTGAAGCATTCGTGACATTTTAATAAAAAAATTGTGTTAGGAAAATGTTAGGAAGACATTGATATATATATA